AAAAATCTGACGTTCTGCAATTCACTCAAAAATCATGCCAAACTGTTGCAAACGATCCCCTGAAAAGTTTTTCGGTGGAAACAGATGGGTTTTTATCATCGGAAACAGAATTAGCCCTCGACGTCCGAACAACTTTTTATTGGAAAAAATCCCTAAGCCGCGCGGTCACAATTTCAGCAAATATATGACGTTCTGCAATTCACTCAAAAATGGTGCTAAGCTGTTGCAAACGATCCCCTGAAAGCTTTTTCGGTGGAAACAGATGGGTTTTTATCATCGGAAACAGAATTAGCCCTCAACGTCTGAACACCCTTTTTTTGAAAAAATCTCTAAGCCGCGCGGTGACAATTTCAGAAAAAATCTGACGTTCTGCAATTCACTCAAAAATGGTGCCATGCTGTTGCATACGATCCCCTGAAAGCTTTTTTGGTGGAAACAGATGGGTTTTTATCATCGGAAACAGAATTAGCCCTCGCCGTCTGAACACCTTTTTTTTGAAAAAATCCCTAAGCCGCGCGGTCACAATTTCAGACAAAATCTGACGTTCTGCAATTCACTCAACAATGGTGCCGAACTGTTGCAAATGATCTCCTGAAATCTTTTTTGGTGGAAAAAGACGGGTTTTTATCATCGGAAACAGAATTAGCCCTCGACGTCTGAACAACTTTTTTTTTGAAAATTCCCTAAGCCGCGCGGTCACAATTTCAGAAAAAATCTGACATTCTGCAATTCACTCAAAAATCGTGCCAAACAGTTGCAAACAATCTCCTGAAAGCTTTTTCGGTGGAAACAGACGGGTTTTTATCATCGGAAACAGAATTAGCCTTCGCCCTCTGAACACCTTTTTTTAAAAAAAATCCCTAAAACCCGCGGTCACAATTTCAGAAAAAACTGACGTTCTGCACTTCACTCAAAAATGGTGCCGAACTGTTGCAAACGATCCCCTGAAAGGTTTTTCGGTGGAAACAGATCGGTTTTTATCATCGGAAACAGAATTAGCCCTCGACGTCCGAACAACTTTTTATTGGAAAAAATCCCTAAGCCGCGCGGTCACAATTTCAGAAAAAATCTGACGTTCTGCAATTCACTCAAAAATCATCCCAAGCTGTTGCAAACGATCCCCTGAAAGGTTTTTCGGTGGAAACAGATGGGTTTTTATCATCGGAAACAGAATTAGCCCTCAACGTCTGAACACCCTTTTTTTGAAAAAATCCCTAAGCCGCGCGGTCACAATTTCATTAAAAATCTGACATTCTGCAATTCACTCAACAATGGTGCCGAACTGTTGCAAACGATCTCCTGAAATCTTTTTTGGTGGAAACAGATGGGTTTTTATCATCGGAAACAGAATTGGCCGTCGACGTCTGAACAACTTTTTTGAAAAAATCCCTAAGCCGCGCGGTCACAATTTCAGAAAAAATCTGACGTTCTGCAATTCACTCAAAAATGGTGCCAAACTGTTGCAAACGATCCCCTGAAATCTTTTTTGGTGGAAACAGACGGGTTTTTATCATCGGAAACAGAATTAGCCCTCGACGTCTGAACAACTTTTTTTTTGAAAAAATCCCTAAGCCGCGTGGTCACAATTTCAGAAAAAATCTGACGTTCTGCAATTCACTCAAAAATGGTGCCAAGCTGTTGCAAACGATCCCCTGAAAGCTTTTTCGGTGGAAACAGATGGGTTTTTATCATCGGAAACAGAATTAGCACTCGACGTCTGGACAACATTTTTTTTGAAAAAATCCCTAAGCCGCGCGGTCACAATTTCAGAAGAAATCTGTCATTCTGCAATTCACTCAAAAATGGTGCCAAACTGTTGCAAACGATCCCCTGAAATCTTTTTCGGTGGAAACAGACGGGTTTTTATCATCGGAAACAGAATTAGCCCTCAACGTCTGAACAACTTTTTTTTGAAAAAATCCCTAAGCCACGCGGTCACAATTTCAGAAAAAATCTGACGTTCTGCAATTCACTCAACAATGGTGTCGAACTGTTGCAAACGATCTCCTGAAATCTTTTTTGGTGGAAACAGACGGGTTTTTATCATCGGAAACAGAATTAGCCCTCGACGTCTGGACAACTTTTTTTTGAAAAACTCCCTAAGCCGCGCGGTCACAATTTCAGAAAAAATCTGACGTTCTGCAATTCACTCAAAAATCATGCCAAACTGTTGCAAACGATCCCCTGAAAAGTTTTTCGGTGGAAACAGATGGGTTTTTATCATCGGAAACAGAATTAGCCCTCCACTTCCGAACAACTTTTTATTGGAAAAAATCCCTAAGCCGCGCGGTCACAATTTCAGCAAATATATGACGTTCTGCAATTCACTCAAAAATGGTGCCAAGCTGTTGCAAACGATCCCCTGAAAGCTTTTTCGGTGGAAACAGATGGGTTTTTATCATCGGACACAGAATTAGCCCTCAACGTCTGAACACCCTTTTTGAAAAAACTCTAAGCCGCGCGGTGACAATTTCAGAAAAAATCTGACGTTCTGCAATTCACTCAAAAATGGTGCCATGCTGTTGCATACGATCCCCTGAAAGCTTTTTTGGTGGAAACAGATGGGTTTTTATCATCGGAAACAGAATTAGCCTTCGCCCTCTGAACACCTTTTTTTAAAAAAAATCCCTAAGCCGCGCGGTCACAATTTCAGCAAAAATCTGACGTTCTGCAATTCACTCAAAAATCATGCCGAACTGTTGCAAACGATCCCCTGAAAGCTTTTTCGGTGGAAACAGATGGGTTTTTATCATCGGAAACAGAATTAGCACTCGATGTCTGGACAACATTTTTTTGAAAAAATCCCTATGCCGCACGGTCACAATTTCAGAAAAAATCTGACGTTCTGCAATTGTTGGGTTGAAATCACGACAGACGAATGGTGGGTGTCAAAGGAGAGACGTCTGCCGGGACAAGTCCCGGGAACTCTCTTTTATTGAATATTACAAACATTGCCACAGGTGTGCTTGTGGCTGATTGGCTGATACAAACACAAAGCATCTTGTTGCTGATTGGTTAACATAGGTACAAGGCGGGCATTACATTTTACATTAATCAGTGATAGTTCAAAAGACTGGGAGCGGAGCTGGAACTAGACAGGCATGAATCCTCCTAATTAAATTGTAACTAAAGATTAATATAACATGACTAAAACAATTACTAATGATTGATCATAAGTGAAAGGTCCGTATATGTGGTCAGCTATGCATTGAGAACAGAGCATGTTGTTTTTGTACGTGAACTCAGAATGAACTGAAGAATTGAGGGAATGTCTTGGGTGTCCTGAGCTTGGTGTGTTTGGAACAGTATGTGCAGAGCAGAAGGAGACTTCCCAGAATCCAAGAGGAAAGAAGCAAGAGTTTTCATAGTAAGCATAGAAAGATTGCATAGTAAGACTTCCCATAATGCCACAGTTATGTGCAGTAAGAGAACTGCAGAAAGAGAACTTCCCTTCATCTCCCCTTTCTTTTCTTGTTTGCGAGGCATTCCAGGTGGATAAGGCAAAAATACTTCGGGATTAGTGGTGTGCCAGCGAATGCCCGAAATAAGCCTGCCAGGGTCGATGGGACAAAAGTACTTCAGGATACGTGGTTTGCCAGCGCATGCCCAAAATAAATCCGCCCACATCTCCCCTAAGGTTTACTGTTGGTGTTGCCATTTCGCAATGTAAGCAGCAAGCAGTTTGCTGGGTGGTGGAGGGGGGGAGAGAAGCCGAGAGAAAAGACTCATGAGGCTGGGAACGCATTGGAGGAAACAGCATAGTAAAATAAAAATGGAAATTATGAAAATAGCATATTGAAAGAGACTACGAAGCCAAGTAAGGTTAGGCAACCAAGCAGTAAGCCACTGGGTGAAAGAATCCCAGAGGCCAGAAAATCCAACGTCCTGTTTAATGTGATGTGTAAGATTTTGCAAATGAGAGATTTGGCTTTGAATGGCTCTAGAATTGTCAGTAATATTGAAACAGCACATGTCATTCACTTGTTCACAGCCATAATGATGAAGCATCAGCAAGTAATCTATCGCGGCACGGTTCTGTAAAAGCCCATGCTGGAGTTCACTTTGCTCTTTATTCAGAAGGTGAAGGGCTTGAGAAGTATAGTTCAGCGCTTTTGCTGCAGAACAAGCTAGAGAATTAATATTTCTACTATTGCGTACAGCCAATCCAGGAACTCCTAAGAGAGAGACAGCTAAGGAGATATATTCAGATCTACTGGGAAGAGAAATTGAATCATCACAATCATTAGTTAATTCAATAGAGCGGCGATGTCGAGAAGGGGTCAAATGATGCTTTTGGGTAATACAATAGACAAACGGCTTAAACAACAGGGTGTTCCATGGCTGATGTTTGCAGGAATGTAATTAAATGTATAGCCAGGACACGACCAGAACCAACCCGCAGGTAGTTCTGTGTATTTATACAGATAGGAAATATTTACATAATCAGAGCAGTGGAAATTATCAGTGCCCATTTTCACGCAGTTGGCTTTTGTGCAATTCACCATACGGGCGCAAGTGACATTAAAGGAAGCCACGTATGGGGTCGATAAATCAATGGCCAAAGATGGGCGGCGGCGCACTTGGTTACCCCAGACATAATAACCGGAATAACCAAGGGTGCGGAGAGAATCATTTGTGGGTAGGGATGAGAAAAACCAGGTATCATTTTGTATATCAAAAGGGTCATGGCAAACAGGGATAAGGCAGGAGCCAAGAATCTCCCCTATAGATACCTGTTGGGTAAGGCAAAAGGAAGAAATATTGAGTGTCTTTGCAAAGATTCCCACACATTTGTAGGTGCGTGGGTGTCACTAGTAGGAGTGGAAGCAGAAAGAGGCAAAAACAAAGCAATGAGAATGAGCACTGTCATGGAATTAATGTTAAGGCAGGAAATAACACACAGAAGCAAATTCTCAGGGGTTGCTTCAAGCTGCTTTTCCTTTCTAAGCTGTTCAGCCTGACATGAGAGTGATTTTATTTGGCCCCATGTCACAGGTCCATTACGATTTCCCGCTTGCGAGTCCTGGGGGCTGGGCGCTGCGGCCTGGGCGATCCGTAGTGTGTGGTCGAACTGCGGTACTGGATTCGGAAGGGACTGTCGCCATGCCATGGTATAGGCGGATGCAGCGTGCGGGAACCCAGCGAGGACCCTGTGGAGTAGACACTGCAGCGTAACCCTTTCCCCAGGTGATCAGTTTTACAGGTTCACTCCACTCGTTGGAGGGTAATATCTTATAGCGGACCAGTGGGGCTGGGAGTATCTCTGTTTGCTGAAAATGCTTCTGCAGGCGAGTATAAGATTGATGATCCTGTATGGAAACATTCAAATGGTTGAGAGTAAAGAGAACACTGGCCAGCCAGCCTTCCTTTTCGGAAAGGGAGGCTGGGACACCGGCCTTCTTTTCCTGGCGTTGTAGAGCAGTTTTTAAGGTACGATTAGCCCTTTCGACGATGGCTTGGCCTTGAGAATTGTAGGGGATGCCAAATAAATGGTGAATATTCCAAGTTTCACAGAACTGAGCAAAGGTTTTTGCACAGTACGCTGGGGCATTGTCAGTTTTCAGGGAATGAGGCTTGCCCATGACTGACATGGTACGAACAAGATGATTGCAAACATGTTTAACTTGTTCTCCCCTTTGAGGGGTGGCCCAAATAAAGCCAGAGAACGTATCAACACAAACATGTATGAACTTCCAAGGTGAAAAAGGGGCGAAGTGAGTGACATCCATTTGCCACAATTGGTTGGATGCCAGCCCACGGGGATTAACACCAGGGCTGGGGTGGCCAATCTGATTAGAGCATTGAGGGCATTGTTGAATAATTGCACGTGCCGCTTCCAACGGGATTTGGAACTGGCGGCTAAGGGCTTTCGCATTTTGATGATGGAAAGCATGACTTTCAATAGGGGAAACAGGCAAAGCTCTAAGCAGTGAATCTGCTTTCGCGTTGCCTTCAGTGATGAAGCCAGGGAAAGGTTGGTGGGAGCGAATGTGCACCACAAATAGAGGGTGGGAGCGAGTGGAAAGAAGTAATTGTAAGGATAGGAAAAGGCTCAATAAATTGTCATCCAATAAAGGACTTACATAACTGCCTTGTAGACGAGTTATGACATTTGCAACATATAGGCTGTCCACGACCAAATTTAAAGGCTGCTTGGAGAAGTGGTGCAGAGCTTTAACAGCAGCTGCTAACTCAGAACGCTGGGCAGATTTTTGTGGAAGAGTGTAGAGGCTGTGCCATTCCTCATCTTGTTGCCAGGCAACTACCCCCCTGGAGGGGGATCCGTCAGTAAAGACAGTAGGGGCGTCCAAAGGGACAGGAGATAATATGGTTGAGAAAGACAGGGAAAATTGCTTGCTCATTTGCAGGCGAGGGTCGGCTGGGATATGGCAATCCACTTGGCCAACAAAATCGGCTAAGGCGCACTGCAAATCCATGCTAGTGGAGAGAGCAGTTTCCCATTGTTCTAAAGGCATGGGTACAATGAGTTGGCCGCAGTCAGTGCCAAAGAGGCTTTTGCAGCGGCGGCGTCCCTTGCTGATGAGCTGAGCAAGGAGATCCACTAAAGGAGTCACTGTGTTCTTTGGCGTATGATGTAAATACAGCCATTCAATTATGTGAACTTTTGATGGGCCTAACTGAATAATGGCCGCAAAAGGTTGGACAGAATCTGTCATTATGACTACATCAGGCAAAACATTAAGAATAGCTCGATCAACCCAGTGGAGACGCATGATTTCCTTTAGCTGGGCAACAGTCTCCTGCTGAGTGGGAGTCAAGGTGATTTTTTCACCAGGAGATTGATGGCCTTTTAAGGCTGAAAAAAGCGGCCGTAAAACTTCAAGGGGAATTTTAAAATAGGGTCTTATCCAGTTGATATTGCCCAGCAATTGCTGCAGCTGGACATATTTCATTGTTTTTGGAACATGAAGTTCAGGGACAATAGGAATAGAATAGCTAGCTATCATTTTGTGTCCCAAATAATGAAAAGGAGATGATTCCTGAACCTTTTCTGGGGCAATTTTCAAACCATAACGTGACAAACAGGCTTGCATATCCTGTTTCCAATGAGGGGGGAGGCGTGGCCCACTAATAAGCACGTCATCCATATAATGACAGATCAGGAGGTGTGGATGCTGCAAACGAAAGGGCTGGAGGGCTTGGCTCACATAATGTTGGCACATGGTAGGGGAATTCAGCATTCCTTGTGGTAGGACTTTCCATTGGTACCGTTCCGTGGGCTGACTGTTATTTAACACAGGAACAGTGAAAGCAAATAATTTACGATCTTTTTCCTGTAGGGGAATGGAGAAAAAACAGTCTTGCAAATCTATTATAGCCAATTGATAAGAATGTGGGATTAAATTTGGATTTGGCAGACCACATTGTAAAGGCCCCATGGGTTCAAGGATTTGGTTTATTTTCCTTAAATCCTGGAGAAATCTCCATTTGCCACTCTTCTTTTTTATGACGAAGATGGGTGTATTATAGGGGCTAACTGAAGGCTCAATATGATCTGCCGATAATTGTTCATTCACTAATTGCTTTAAAGCAAGTAGCTTTTCTCCTGTTATGGGCCATTGTTCCACCCATACAGGAGTGGTGGATTTCCAGCTGAGGGGAAGTGCAAGCTTACTCATTAAATTGAATGGTAGCTTGTAATTGCTGTAGCAAGTCTCTTCCCCACAGATTGAGGTGGATTTTCAGCACACAGGGCTGGATGTAAGCAATGGTTTCAGAGCTATCAGGCAGAGACACAGGCAGCCACCGTACGCTTTTGGAAGAGGTTTGGGGGCCACCCACACCCCAGACAGCAGAGGCAGACTCAAGGGGCCACGTGGGGTCCCAGCAACTACTAGAAATTACAGAAACGTCTGCGCCTGTGTCAATCAAGCCTTCCAGCACAATACCATTGATTTTATACTTACGAAGAAGTTTCTTCTCACCAATCCTCTGGACTACAGCTAACAGCTGTGGAGGGAAAGAAGAGAGCTCGTGCAAATTAGTATCCATAATAGAAGCAGTAGGATGAGAAGGGAGCACCACCAAATGCGCCCAAGACTCACCCTTTTTAATTGCATGGGCATATGGCTCCAGAGTTGAACCATTATTGTGCCTACATAGTCAGGATCCAGAACTCCAGGAATAACCTGGATGCCTTCCTTTGCCGCAGAAAATTTGGGTAAAATTAAACCTGCGACTTTAGGAGGCAGGGGACCTGCCAATTGAGTGGGCATGAGCACAATTTCACCAGGTAGAACAGAATCTTTGGTCTCTTGATTGATCAAATCAATTGCAAATTCAGAGGGTGTGTTCTTTGAAAAGTTTGCAGCAGCAGAAATTAAAGGTGGAAAGCTCTCTAATTTTCCTGGCCCGAGAGAGGAGGCCGCAATGGAGTTTCCCGAACTCCTGCATTGATTAGCCCAATGATAGCCTTTGCCACATTTCGGGCATTTTTTGAAGGTCTAGCCTTAGAGGCGGAACCATCCTTGTGTGCCCCCCCGCCTGGGGCTCTGCATTGCTTGGCAAAATGGCCTGGGCGCTTGCAATTAAGGCAGTTACCAGTAGGCTTAGTGGTTGCTTGGATTGCGCCGGCAAGCAAGGACATCGCATGGCTCTGGCTACCGACATCCGCACAAGCTTGAATCATATCGGCCAGTTCATATTTAGGGCGATGTATGATTGACTGCAAAGCTTTCTTGCAATCAGTGTTTGCGTTTTCAAAGGCCAATTTTTTCATCAATTCATTTTGAGCAGTGGTGTTATCAATCTGCCTAGTGACTGATTCTTTCAATCTATCTATAAACTGATGGTATGGCTCCGAATGCTGTTGCTTAATATTTACAAAGGAGCTCAGCGGTTGCCCAGAAACAGGGACTTTCCAAAAGGCGCGTTGTACACAGGTCGCAGTGCGAACAAAATGTACAGGTGTCAGTGTTGCTTGGGCAGTTATATCAGCAAACTGACCAGCACCATAAAGTTCATTGGCAGTATGTTGAGGATCAGACAGGGCTGAAGCGCTATGTTTAAATTCACTCTCAAACACCACATACTGAGCAGGGGACAAAAGCATGCGCATCAGGTCTTTCCAGTCCTGAGGTAGCATAATGTAACCAGTTGCTATGCCTTCTAGCATCCCTGTCACATAAGAGGATTTCAGACCAGAATCAGCAATGGCTTTCCTTAATTCCCTCATTACAGAATAAGGAAGCGATTCATAATAAATCTGCTGTTGAGCAGTTCCAGGGTTTGAATAAGAGATAGGGAAAGCAGACGGCATTTCACCTGGCCACTCAGACTCCTCCTCTAAGGACAGGAGCCCTTTGTGCCTTGCCAGAGAGAGCGCAGCACGCACAGCTCCTATAGAGCAAACAGGGGCTGTGGCAGGAGGAGGAGGGATGGGGGGGAGGAATCAGGCTGAGGCGGAGGGATGGGGGGGGAGGATGCAGGCTGAGGAGGGTGAGACGCAGGGAGGGATTGGCTGGGCTGCAAAGGAGAAGGAGGTAAAAGTTTCGGGTAAGGGGGGGGATTGTCTGCGATGGCGAAAAGTGCTGGTGGCGAGCGAGACGCTGCCTAACTAAATAAAGCAATTCTTTAGCATGCTCTTTCTGGAGTTTAGTCAAGTCCCCTCCCATACTCACGAAGTAGCGCGCTGAGACTTTTCCAGTCGGGTGAAGTATGAGGTTAGGCTGCGTAAGGGATCTGGCACGTCAGGGGTCACCAGATGTTGGGTTGAAATCACGACAGACGAATGGTGGGTGTCAAAGGAGAGGCGTCTGCCGGGACAAGTCCCGGGAACTCTCTTTTATTGAATATTACAAACATTGCCACAGGTGTGCTTGTGGCTGATTGGCTGATACAAACACAAAGCATCTTGTTGCTGATTGGTTAACATAGGTACAAGGCGGGAATAACATATTACATTAATCACTGATAGTTCAAAAGACTGGGAACGGAGCTGGAACTAGACAGGCATGAAGCCTCCTAATTAAATTATAACTAAAGATTAATATAACATGACTAAAACAATTACTAATGATTGATCATAAGTGAAAGTTCTGTATATGTGGTCAGCTATGCATTGAGAACAGAGCATGTTGTTTTTTGTACATGAACTCAGAATAAACTGAAGAATTGAGAGAATGTCTGGGTGTGCTGAGCTCGGTGTGTTTGGAACAGTATGTGCAGAGCAGAAGGAGACTTCCCAGAATCCAAGAGGAAAGAAGCAAGAGTTCTCATAGTGAGCATAGAAAGATTGCATAGTAAGACTTCCCACAATGCAACAGTTATGAGAGAAACTGCAGAACGAAAACTTCCCTTCATCTCCCCCTTTCTTTTCTTGTTTGCGAGGCATTTCAGGTGGATAAGGCAAAAATACTTCGGCAACTATATAGGAATAAAGAAAGGAACAATATAAAAAAAATAGAAAGATATTTAAAAGAAAAGATGGTGAGGAAGATTTCGATAGATCAAAAGGAACAGCTAAATGCCCCAATATATAGAGAAGAGGTAGAAGAAGTGATAAAAGAATTGAAAAGAGGGAAGGCACCGGGCCCAGATGGATTTACATCGAGCTATTATAAAGAAATGAAAGATACATTGATGACTCCGTTAATTGATGTGATGAATAACATCCTAAAGGAAAGAGATATCCCAGACACATGGAAGGAGGCATTTATCACAATAATTCCAAAGCAAGACTCGGATCTAACCCAAGTTAAGAATTACAGACCTATCTCTTTATTAAATACGGATTATAAGATTTTTGCTGGAATCCTAGCCAAAAGACTAAAAAGATACTAACAAAAATTATACATGAAGACCAAGCGGGTTTTTACCGGGCACGCAAATAAGAAATAACACAAGAAGTATAGTTAATTTAATTGAATACCTTTCTGATAGATGTGATAAACCAGCCAGTCTAATCTTCGTAGATGCGGAGAAAGCCTTCGATAATGTAGTCTGGGATTTCATGTTAAAAAATTTGGAAATTATGGAGGTGGGCCAAGAGTTTCTAAATGGCATAAAGGCAATTTACACAGAACAGAAGGCGAGACTGATAATTAATAATATCATCACTGAAGATATAAAAATATCCAAAGGAACAAGACAGGGATGTCCGCTTTCGCCGCTGCTCTTTATTGTGGTTTTGGAAGTCTTACTAAATGCAATAAGACAAAATAAACAAATTAAAGGGGTAACATTAGGTTTAAATGAGTACAAAGTTAAAGCCTATGCAGACGATGTGGTCCTAACAGTGGAAGAACCTATAGAGAGTATAAGGGAGATCTTGGAAGAGATGGAGAAATTTGGGAAGCTAGCAGGATTTAAATTGAATAAGAGTAAGACAAAAATGATTGTTAAAAACTTAGATCAGGATAAGATTGAATTAGTACAGCAACGAACCGAAATTGAGGTTGTTAAAAAGGTTAAATATTTGGGACTCTGGCTTACCAACAAAAACATCGATTTATACCAAAATAACTACACCCCGGTTTGGAATGGAATTAAAAAAGATCTGGAGGTCTGGGCCAGGATGAAATTATCATTCTGGGGAAGAATATCTATGGTCAAAATGATGGTGCTCCCAAAGCTGTTATTTTTATTCCAAACGATACCCATATTAAAAGGTACAAAAAATTTTAAAGAATGGCAAAAGGTGATCTCTAGATACGTCTGGGAAGGAAAGAAGCCTAGAATTAAGTTTAAGTTATTAACAGATGTAACAGAAAGAGGGGCTTCGCCCTACCAGACATGAGACTGTATTACTGAAGCAGCATGTCTGTGTTGGATAAAAGAATGGGTAAAGCTGGAGAATAAAGAACTACTAGATTTGGAAGGGCACAATAATAGATTTGGGTGGCATGCGTATCTATGGAGGGATAAAAGAGAGTGCATAAAGAATTTTGTAGCCACATCTTTAAAGGTCCACTAATAGAGGTCTGGGACAGATATAAAAATATATTAGAACCGAAAACCCCACATTGGCTACCCCGTTGGAGATAATAAGTGTAAAGAAAGTTAATATGAGAGAAAAGTGGGGAAAGTATGGAGAAATGGTTACTAATGAAGGAGGGAAGTGGAAAGTAAAATCATACGATCAGGTTAAAGTATTTACATATGACTGGCTGCACTATTTTCAGATAAATGAAATGTTTAAAGAAGAGGTGAAGGAAAGGGGTTACGAGGAAAAGGAATCGGAATTTCAAAAAGAGATAATAAACAACGAATATAAAAACCTGTCAAAAATGTATAAAATATTGTTAGAGTGGAACACGAAGGATGAGGAAGTAAAATCTGTCATGATACAATGGGCAAGGGATTTCGGTTATAACATTCAACTAGAGGATTGGGAAAAGTTATGGAGAGTGAACATAAAATTTACGGCATGCACGTTACTGAGAGAAAATGTGATGAAGATGCTTTACAGGTGGTATATGACACCTGTAAAACTGGCTAAGATGTATAAGGCAGATAACAAATGCTGGAAATGTAAACAAAAGGAAGGGACTTTCTATCATCAATGGTGGGAGTGTAAGAAAGTTAAAAGCTTCTGGGATGAAATTTACAACGAAATGAAAAAGATGTTAAGTTACACTTTTGTAAAAAGCCAGAAGCCTTCTTATTAGGCATTGTGGGAAAGGATATCAAAAGGAAGGATTGCAAACTCTTCCAGTATGCGGTAACGGCAGCCAGAATTGTGATAGCTCAGAAGTGGAAGCAGGAAGAAATCCCAACGATAGCAGAGTGGAGAGTAAAATTGACAGAATACGCTGAGTTGGATAAATTAACAGGGAAAATCAGATATACTAAGGATCAAAAGTTTATTGAGGACTGGGGGGAAATTTGTGGGTTATCTGGAGAATAAATGTTTTGTAAATACAACGCTAGTGGGATTTAAAGAGGCACTGTAAGAATTAATAAGTATTGTTTAATAGAAATAATGTATGAAGGAAGGAACGAATGGCAATATGAAAGAATGGAATGTGTTTTAAAGATATAAATACGAATGAATGTCAATGACGCTGAAGGAAGTTCAAAATGTATGAGATATATTGAAATATGGATATACTGTTTAAAAAATGGAAATCAATAAAATTTTTGAAATACGAAAAAAAAAAAAATATAACATGACTAAAACAATTACTAATGATTGATCATAAGTGAAAGTTCTGTATATGTGGTCAGCTATGCATTGAGAACAGAGCATGTTGTTTTTTGTACATGAACTCAGAATAAACTGAAGAATGAGAGAATGTCTGGGTGTGCTGAGCTCGGTGTGTTTGGAACAGTATGTGCAGAGCAGAAGGAGACTTCCCAGAATCCAAGAGGAAAGAAGCAAGAGTTCTCATAGTGAGCATAGAAAGATTGCATAGTAAGACTTCCCACAATGCAACAGTTATGAGAGAAACTGCAGAAAGAAAACTTCCCTTCATGCAATTCACTCAACAATGGTGCCGAACTGTTGCAAACGATCTCCTGAAATCTTTTTTGGTGGAAACAGACGGGTTTTTATCATCGGAAACAGAATTAGCACTCGACGTCTGAACAACTTTTTTTTGGAAAAATCCCTAAGCCGCGCGGTCACAATTTGAGAAAAAATCTGACGTTCTGCAATTCACTCAAAAATGGTGCCAAACTGTTCAAAGCGATCCCCTGAAATGTTTTTTGGTGGAAACAGGTGGGTTTTTATCATCGGAAACAGAATTAGCCCTCGACCTCTGAACAACGTTTTTTTGAAAAAAACCCTAAGCCGCGCGGTCACAATTTCAGCAAAAATCTGCCGTTCTGCAATTCACCCCAAAATGGTGCAAAACTGTTGCAAATGATCCCCTGAAAGCTTTTTTGGTGGAAACAGATGGGTTTTTATCATCGGAAACAGAATTAGCCCTCGATGTCTGAACAACATTTTTTTGAAAAAATCCCTAAGACGCGCGGTCACATTTTCAGCAAAAAGCTGACATTCTGCAATTCACTCAAAAATGGTGCCAAACTGTTCCAAGCGATCCCCTGAAAGGTTTTTTGGTGGAAACAGATGGGTTTTATCATCGGAAACAGAATTAGCCCTCGACGTCCGAA